TAAATTGCACAGTAGCATAATTGGACAATTTTGCTTTAGAACTAACTTGTACGGAGGTAGACCAGCAGGATTCAAAGTATGCAAAAAAAATTCAAATTGGCTTTTGATCTTTTGGCCCTACAGTTTCATCGATTCCTATGAATGTCATAGCAATTTTAGGAAACTGATCTATGAACATCTGATTAATTTCATTCACAAAATCATTTTTGATTGTTAAGACAGCGCGAGATGTAACTGAGGAGGTGTCATAAATGAGTGCATCTAAATTGGAATAAATAGTTTTGAACAAAGTATGTAATTAGCCTTTCTCATTAGTAAATGGAATGAGGAAAGATTTTGGAACTTCAATTTTTCCATGTTCATTAACCTTTTCTATTCCATATTTGTCACAACCCAAAATCTGTTAAAGGTCGTGATGGCGGTCGTGATGGCGCCTAACACCGCTGTCAGGCAAGCCAACAATACTTGATTAACTTAATTACTCATTTTAATATTTTGAAATCATGATTTTTTCTTCAATTAAATAATGAGAAATAAATTTTACAGAGTAAATGATAATATTTTCCTAACTATATTACTGAACAACTCACAAGTACCCCCAAAATCCGGCGTCACAAGTGCATGAGCATCAATTAGGAAGATAAAATAAAATACAGCATCTGTCCGAAATACAAATTAGACAGGAAAATACATAAGTAACTCTGAAGGAGACTCTGCTGGCTGCGGATCGAAATGTGAAAATGCAACTCACCTAAGTCACCGCACTTAACTACGCCTCTGCTCTTACAGGGCCACTAGACACATATGTACCTGCACAAAAGTGTGCAGCAAGTATAGTATGAGTACGTAAATCAACGCATACACAGTAAATATCCGGTCTAACCTTGAAGAAGTAGTGACAAAGGGTCGACCCCGACACTTACTATGGGCTGTAAATAAAAATATCGATGATATGATTCAACATGGATTGTATATGTAACGAACCGGTCGGACGTTTTGAGAGTTATAGCCCCGATCCCCTATTTACTGCTTCCCCCGCATCTATTTTTGCTATTGTGACTTGCCGGGAGATTTCGTTTTGGTTTTTGAAGTGTTTTGGGACACTTAGTCCCTAAACAAAGGCTTAAATCTTAGAATTTGGACCATAGTCGATACTGTGTGAAGACGACTCCGTAATAGAGTTTTGTCGATTTCGTTAGCTCCGTTGGGTGATTTTGGGCTTAGGAACGTGCCCGGATTGTGTTTTGGAGTTCTGTAGCTTATTTAGGCTTGAAATGGCGAAAGTCAAATTTTTGGAGATCTTGACCGGTAGTGGACATTTTGATATCAGGGTCGAATTCCGATTCCGAAAGTTGGATTAGGTCCGTAAGGTTGATTATGACTTGTGTGTAAAATTTGGGGTCAACAGGACGTGGTGTGATTGGTTTCGGCATCAGTTGTCGAATTTGGAAGTTTCAAGTTCTTTAAGTTTGAATCAGAGGGCGAATTATGTTTTTAGCGTTGTTTGGTGTGATATGAGGGCTCGACTAAGTCCATGTGGTATTTTGGGACTGGTTGGTATATTTGGTTGAGGTCCCGGGGGCCTCGGGTATGTTTCGGATGCTTAACAGATGAAATATTGAACTTATGCAATTTCTGAAGTTGCTAGTTTCTGGTGTTTCGCACCTGCGGTGGGGAGACCGCAGGTGCGAACTCGCACGTGCAGAGTGAAGGGCGCAGATGCGGAGTTTGGAAGCTTGAACAGGGATCGCAGGTGCGGGGGAAGTACCGCATCTGCGATGCCCGCAGATGCTCCTAAGGAATCGCAGGCGCGGAGAAGGACTGCAGAAGCGGGCAGTGTTCCGCAGGTGCGCACACGCAGATGCGGCCCCCTTGCCGCAGATACGGACACAACCCTCATAAGTGATTTTCGCAACTGCGATAGACTTCCCGCAGGTGAGGTTGAAGGCTCGTAGAAGCGAGTTTGCTGGGCAGAAAATAGGATTTCGAGGGTTGATTTCCCATTTTCGATTTTGGGAGTTTGAGAGCTCGATGTGAGGCGATTATTTGAGATTTCTTCGAGAGGATTGTTGGGGTAAGTGGTTCTAACTCGGATTGGGCTATATTTCATGAATCTATCATTATTTTTATCTTCTAATTAGGGATTTGAGTTGGAAATTTGGGAGAAAATGGTAAAAGCTTCATAGGCTATAATTTCGAGTTTTGGAAGACGAATTGAGGTCGGATTCGAGTAACTCTTGTATGGTTAGACTCGTGAGTGAATGGGTATTCGTATTTTGTGACTTTTACCCGATTTTGAGACATGGGCCCGGAAGGCTTTTTGGGATGATTTCCTAATTTCTCGCTTTAGCTTAGATTTCATTGACTAGATTAGTTTCTTATAGCTATATTTATGGTATGTAATTGATTTTGGTTCGATTTGGGACATTCGTAGCCGGATATTCATAGGAAGAGCATTGTTACAGATTGATTTGAGCTTGGTTCGAGGTAAGTGACTTGCCTAACCTTGTGGGGGGAACTCCTCTTAGGATTTGGTACTGTTTTTGATATGTGAGCGCCATATACGTGAGGTGACGAGTACGTACACGGGCTAAATTGTTATAAAACCCGGTTTTTGCTAAGTAATAACTTGTTTTCCTTCTTAATTGAGTTTTATCAGCATGTATTGTATCCTGTTAGCTTAGAATAGCATGTCTACTTGCCTTAATTGCCTATCTGAACTCTGTGCAGCGTGTTTAGTGAATTCCCTATTTTTCCTTGACATTCGTCTTAATTAATTATTCGTTCGCATTTCTCACTATTTTTTTTAGATCTGAGATTTGAACTTAGTCTAAACTGTAGGCTTTTCTTGCTATAACTGCAATTTCCGTTGTTTGAGCTGCATATTTACTTTGGGACTACGGAACGGTATTTCGGGAGATCCCTCCTGTCTTGCATATTTAAGTTTGGGACTATGAGACGGTATCTCGAAATATCCCATGTTGTTATCTCTGTGTACTGAGATATTACCTCATATGATTTTATTTTGTTAAATTTCAGTCTTTATTTTACTGTGATATTGCATTGTCTTGTTTTTATTATATATATACCAGTAGGGCCTGACCTTACCTCGTCACTACCCGACCGAGGTTAGGCTTGGCACTCACTGGGTACCGTTGTGGTATACTCATGCCCTTCCCTACACATGTTTTTCGTATGCAGATCCAGGTACCTCCTACTAGTCGCGTTCCTAGTTGTTCAGTTGCTGCCATTCCGGAGAATTCAAGGTACATCTGCCGCGTTCGCAAACCTCGGAGTTCCCTTCTATCCTTTCTGATATTGCTTCCCTTTTATTTATTTTAGTACAAATGTATAGAACAGTTTGAGATTCGTTGAAGCTTGTGACTTACGGTGTTCCGGGTCTTGGGAGAGTTGCGTACATTTCGAGAGTGATTATTGTATATGCCGAGCGGCATCTCAAATGTTTTATTTAAATTATTTGTTTCTAATAGTTGTTACTTTTTCAGTTTTTCATTTCTTTTCCGCAAATGTTAGGTCTATCTAGTCGTAGAGACTAGGTGCAGTCACGACAATTCAGGAGGGGGGAATTTGGGTCGTGACAGTATAGAGCGACGGTAAACTCAATATCATGAAGTAAGTAAACAATTCTTTGTTAATAAGAAATTTCCAAATTCATTTTTTTGTTTTTATCATTTACCATTTTATATCTCAGGCCAATAAAGTAATGTCAATTATTATGAATTCCAGAACAAGCAAATCAATCATGCACAAATTATACCGAGGTCGTACGACCCGATCCAACATAAATATAAAATGTGCACTGCTGAGGGTCGAACGACACGAACCATAGATGCATCTATCTGTTACCGAGGCGTTCGGCCCGCTCCACAACAAGAGAAAATACATATAAACAACCAATTCAAGATTTATTAAGGGCTAATGTTCAAAGAAATATAAATTCTCATTAACGGTCAAATGACCCGTCCAAAACTCAAGTAGGTGAAGTTTAACCTTTTACAACTTCCTTATCATGTTCCAATATATTTTTAACAATTAAATTAACAAGTAGGACGCAAACATCGCAATATAACATGATTTGGGTCCAAGACTACCCCGACATAAGCATAATAGTAGCTACGCACGGACTCTCGTCACCTCGTGCGTACGTAGCCCCCACACTTAGAAGCACATATTAATTCAATTCACCTATGGGGTTAATTCCCTCTTACAAGGTTATAAAAGAGACTAACCTCACTCCGAAGTTCCATAGCCGGCTCCCAAGCCTTTCCAATAACTCAAACCGATGTCGAACGCTCCAAAACTAGTCAATAAATATGCAAATCCACAAAAATATACTCCAATACTTATTATAATCCAATTTACAATAATTTCTAACTCTGCTCGAAAAGTCGATAAAATCAACCCTCAAGCCCGGATTTCAAAAAAATTCGAAGATAAACATTACCCATAACATCACGAACTCAAATATATAATTTATTCTCAATTCCATGCCCAAATTCGTGGTTAAAATCTAAAAATATCCATTTTTAGGTTTTCTACCAAAGCCCCAAATTTCCACTAATTTCCATAATTTCCATGTTAAAATCTATATATAATCCAAGTATTTAACTTGCAATAGGTGGAAATCATTTACCTTGACATAGATGATGAAGATGGAGTTCCGATATCGCTCCTAGGTCGTCTCCCATGGAGGAAATTAGATGAAATGAGCCAAACCCGTTTTTGAAAACTTATACACTGCCCAGGTGACCCTTCTTCGCGTTCGCGGGCCTCCCATCGCATTCGCGATGAACAAAATTCTCAAAAGCCATTTCCAAACTCTTCTCAGATATCACGTAGTATAATAGTCATAACATTTTGTACAAAACTCTAAATGATAAATAGTTTAACTTTATAAAATCTACATACTACGATCTACAACTTTCATGTTTTGGTCATCTCTCAGTTCCTTATAGATTTCGAGATATTAGTTGCCAAAGTCAGCTCTGTGCAACACAAATTTCTTCTTCATCTTCTCGGACAGCCTGTAATATACCAGCCATAACTTTTGGTACACAAATCCAAATGCTAAATGGTTTACCTTTCTGAAAACGAGACACAAAGTACTACAACTTTCATATTTGGATTATCTCCAAATTCATTATAGATTGCGAGATATGAGCCTCCGAAGTCAGACATATACAACAAAGATTTCCTTCTTCGCGAGCACGAAAGTCTCTTCGCGAAGGCGAAGAACAAAATCCCAGAAACCAAATCCTTCTCCACGAACGCGAGAGGATCCTCGCGAATGAGAAGAACGACACCATACATCAAAAAATCAGCATCCAAAGTAGCCCAAAATGATCCGAAACACACCCGAAACTCACCCGAGGCCCACAGGACTTCGTCCAATCACACTAACCTATCCCAAAACATGACACGAACTTGCTTGAGGCATCAAATCACATCAAACATCGAAATCATGAATCGCACCCCAATTCAAGCTTAATAAACTTTAGAACTTCAAACTTCTACATTCGATGTCGAAACCTATCAAATCACGTCCGATTGACCTCAAATTTTGCACACAAGTCACATTCGACATTACGGACCTACTCCAACTTCCAGAATCGGAATCCGACCCCGATATCAAAAAGTGCACTTCTGATCAAACTTCTCAAAAACCATCAAATTTCTAACTTTCGCCAAATGACCTACGGACCTCCGAATCCACTTCCGGACGCACTCTTAATACCAGAATCACCATACGGAGCTATTCACAGACTCAGAATCCCAAACAGACATCGATAACATTAAAATGCTCTTCAACCCAAATTTATGAAATTCTTCCAAAATGCCAACTTCCACAATAGGCGCTGAAACGCTCCCGGATCATCCAAAACCCGATCCAGATATACGCCCAAGTCTAAAATCATCATACGAACCTATTGGAACCTTCAAATCCCGATTCCGAGGTCGTTTACTCAAAAATCACACCTTAGTCAATTTTCCAACTTAAAGCTTCCGAAATGAAAATGTACTTTCTAAATTAACTCCGAACTTCCCGAAATTCAATTCCGACCATACGTACAAGTCATAATACCTGAAGTGAAGCTACTCATGCCCTCAAACTGCCAAACAACATGCTAGTGTTCAAAATGACCGGTCAGGTCGTTACATTCTCTCCTACTTAAACATACGTTCGTTATCGAACGTGCTAAGAACTGTCTTGGAGTCATCTGAAATCACTATTTAACACCTCGTGCACCTACCCGTGCTACCATAACTCAATTGAGCACATTAGCTCGAGCAATTCTGAAGATTCTCCCTTTTATTTAGTCAAACTAGCCTTAGAGCCCAATTCCAACATCTGAAATCCTCTACCAGGTCTGTTTCCAACATACGAATACCGTATCCATCACTACACGATGTACCAATACATGATTGTATACTCTTACCGAATTCCTATCATGCACCGCAGTATTCACATGACCATAATAATATCCTCTGACAACAACTGAAATCCCACGAATCTGATGCCCTTAACGCACCTCATGAAGCATATAAGTCCCATTTCAACTCTCACAATACTGCTACGACAGAAGAGGTGTAGAAACTCCTGACCACCTGCCGAATCAAAATTCATGGAGTCTCTCCTCCCGACAAGAACCACTACCTCATTCTGGACTGAATATCAATATTTACTCTTTAATGTGCCTCATATAAATCTGATCGCACTGATCCCAGTTCCAATAATCTCGTCTCACCCAGTACAAGCTGCTCAGGCGATAAGCCACCTCAGACACTGCAAAAAGTCTCATATGATACCACAGAGTGCTAACAAGCCACAACCTTGAATGCGATACATAAGGAGAAATGAGCTCTGAAAAGAACTTCTCAACCCACGTAATTAATTTAATAAGCGAAAAGATGTTATGAACCTTCCTCATAAATGAGAAGCAAAACACACAAGAAAAGATATGGGAAACTGTACTCAACATCGCACTGTTGCGGCGTGCAACCCGATCCACACATGATACCATTGCGGCGTGCAACCCGATCCACACATGATACCATTGCGGCGTGCAACCCGATCCAACCATGATACCTGTGGCGGCGTGCCACCCAATCCAAACAACATACTCGTGGCGGCGTGCCACCCAATCCACACATAATAATCTATAAGGAAATACTTACCGAGCTAAAATGCCCACAACTACGAAATACCCGAATATCGACCACAAGCACGCCAAGTGCGTAATACCATCCCTGGGGAGACAGATAGCGCCATACGCCGCAAAACTCAAACACAACTAAGGTGTAATATATGATCTGCATCTCGAGAGCCATACTTCTCACAAAGCACCATCGCTACGCGGAACCTCAACACATGTGCAATTAATCAAGCCGTCTCACAATCCACACTGCACAATAGAGTATTACAAGAAATAGCCGATGACGAAATAACATCCAACATCCGAATACTCCTCCATAAGGAGTGCTATGCTGAATGAACACACCCATGCTGGTGTAGAGTACACATCCACATTTGGACCCATCAACGGACCTCATCCGATTCTGATCATACCATGCTTGGGCAAATAACCTCTCAAGGACCCACAATGACTTATTCATGACACATAAGAACAACCGCCGAATCCGGACCAAACTTTCACAATTCACAACCAACTGAATAGAGCGCTTTTCAGGCCTAAACTCTCACATTAGCGATAGTGCCAAAAATCTCCACACCTGGTTTCAATCTTCAATCTTCAATCAATCAAGTGACAACATATCATACTTATACAATTTTCCCATGGGATACGCTCTCACAACCTTCCGCACCAGGTAACAAGTCTGCACATCCATACCACCGGCCATACTAATGTCGTAAAGCAAATCAAGAATCTGCAATCAGTACACAAAGCCTCTTACATAGGACACCGATCTCAGGTGACGCTAAAGACAATACCAGCTTACTCTAACCATCTAAATCCTTTCTTGCTCACCCGAGCTCGTGATATTCTTGCCAACACCAAACGGCAACCTTGATCCTCAACTTCCAATTCCCATGCCGCTCACTGCACCTAACATGCTAATACGCGACAGTACAAGAATTTCACCATAACTCCTATACCACTAAATAGAATAAACACTTCATCATATAGAAACCTTTTACTTAGCTCATCTCAGAAAAACCATTGCAACACGCAACTGAATTCTCAAACCGCGGGAATTACAATCTCATGTCGCGATCTAAACCGCCATGACTCTTCCAGAATCCATTTACTCAACCTAGTCCTTAGAACCAAATACCTCCCAAATCAATCGAATTATGGTGGTTGTCAAGCCTCGCACGTTCCGCCACAAATCACATATATAACTAAACACGCTGAAGGAACTAATCACGGCCACAATCATGTTGATTCAACCATTATTAGCCGAACCGTCTTCTCCCAATTTATTCTTAACTTACCTTAGAAATAATAATAGCTCCGTTCATAAACGTAACGAAACCCAACAACACTCATCCTGAGTGACCCAATCCACGAGACCACATCGTCTCAATACCCATGAACCATCTCATATTCTCCTTAAACGCACAATAGCATCCCCAACTGGTACACCCGTTCTGCAAGACCTTCCGCGAATCTGAAGCTACTTTTTCCCTTCCTCCAATACTGCACCGCATACCCAATGATAACATAGAACATTCCAAGTCCTTAGGCATTGTACTCAAATTCTTGAACCCACTAGGACCACTGTTGAGAGTCACCCACTCTGACTTGGCCCCGAATATAAGCCAAACTCTAGTGCTCTGCTAGCACGTGAACACCCTATCCGAGAAGCACCCGATTAAATTCTTTTCCCTTTAACATTACTCCCACAAGAAGCAGAAACTCCGAGTCTTCCCAAAACTGAGCATGAATCGATAAGGCCCAAATATAGCACACATTCCTCAAGTCCTTTGCTCGAATTACCACTAATGCTTTCTTTCCTTAGTCATATTAACCTGTCGATACATCGATAACCAGAAACCGTACAAGCAGACAACCACGTGATCCAATCATAGACGGTGGGGCTCCCCCACTTAGCTTGAAGTTACAATGGCATAACTTTGGAACCCACCAAGATTCTTTATCCCCCATTGACATGATCTTGCACAATCAACCCGCCAAATTCCTCGAAATCCTTCTGTTAGCATTTAATGAACGCTTTGAATCACTAGCCATATTTACATATTCAACCTCTCATCAGATAGATAGTAGAATTCTTCGTGGAAGCTTCGTCAATCACGCGACCGCTAACATGCTCACAGGAGATAACCCACCTGTGGAAATTACATGCTGACATCTTCCAACGTCGTTGCACTGGGTACAATTACTACAAAATCAGTAACCCATCCTAAAATCGTGCTCATTCACCAGCTGTGCAAGTCTGTTCACTTCTCATGGACATCGACTAAAGGTGCGACAATACATTCCAATCCAAATTCATGTTGTATCCTTCTTCATATCAAGCAGCTCCTTTTTGTCGTATCGCATCTCCCGCCGTATAATAGCCAATATTCCAAATTAATTTTGTAGACCTAGTCACCGTCCACCATGAATCCCGAATCACTCTAAACTTTTCCCAAGGCGTGTAGTCATCCTATCACAAAACCCATATGCTACTCTTCCACTCTCTCACTTTGATCAAACCCACTCCTTTAAGTAACTACTCGACTCCTGTTTCTCACACTTGGCCTTCTAGAAGTTTATCCACCATAAGACACCTCCCACATGTCCTTCCTCATATTTCGCTGCCCAGTTGTTGCCTTAAGTCAACATCCATCTCTGTAGCACTTGAACCAATAGATCGCTACCAACTTTAAACCTCTCTGAAGATCATCTTCCTCGAGCCGTCAACATTAGAAATACCCATTTGAATTTCGAAACTGCTACACTCCACTATCTCCGACAACTGTATCTCCGGCACCATCTCACACTACTCTGCCCCGAAGGCAAATTGATGAAGACCATAACACCGGCGAACCTTAACGCGTTCCACAAGGACGATGACACCACATCACAGATGAAAATTCCACCACGCTTGAACATACCAAGTCTCGTTACTCCATCAACCCAAACCTGAACATTCACAGTCTGATTGCCTTTCCTCCGCCGAAAATAAAATACTGAATCTCTGAATATGCACTGAGTAAACCTCCTTCCAAGTCATTCACTGCTTCGACGTATAGACAAGCATCCTACCATTACACCAACACTGTGTGATAGCAACGCGCGAATCGTTATAACAATCGATGCCAAATCTCAAAACCTTAGGTAGTACTGATACTGAGCTGAAACAACAGAACGACCTTCTGCAAGGCGACGACAATAGCCCAATCAAATACGCAGGAAGAAACATCTTGCACCACATCTGTAGTACCATTACAATTCCTCAATTCCCGATTTGTAACAAGCTCTTCACATTGCATAAGATCGAGTAGGAAAGAAACAAAGGCATAAGCCTCAAAGGAATCAAATCGCACGATGAGGAATCAAAAAGGGAAGTGCTCCTAACAGGCCTGTAGCCTCTTGAAGAAAAGTACAGACGTCTCCGTACCGATCCGCAAGACTCTACTAGACTTGATCATGACTCGTGAGACCTAAGTAAACCTAGTGCTCTGATATCATGTTGTCACGACCCAAAATCCGTTAAAGGTCGTGATGACGCCTAATACCACTGTGAGGCAAGCCAACAATACTTGATTAACTTAATTACTCATTTTAGTATTTTGAAATCATGATTTTTCCTTCAATTAAATAATGAGAAATAAAATTTACAAAGTAAATAATAATATTTTCCCAACTACACTACAGAACAACTCATAAGTACCCCCAAAACCCTGTGTCACAAGTGCATGATCATCAACTAGGAAGATAAAATAAAATACAGCATCTATCCGGAATACAAATTAGACAGAAAAATAGATAAGTAACACTGAAGGAGACTCTGCTGGTTGCGGATCGAATGTGGAAATACAGCTCACCTAAGTCCCTGCACTTAACCACGCTTTTGCTCTCACAGGGCCACTAGACACATATGTACCTGCACAAAAGTGTGCACCAATATGTATCCAGTCTAACCTCGAAGAAGCATCGACGAGGGGTCGACTCCGACACTTACTATGGGTTGTAAATAAAAATATCGATGATATGATTAAGCATGAATTGTATAGAGCGGCAGTAAACTCAATATCATGAAGTAAGTAAACAATTCTTTGTTAATAAGAAATTGCCAAATTCATTTTTGTGTTTTTATCATTTACCATTTTATATCTCAGGCCAATGAAGTAATATCAATTATTTTGAATTCCAGAACAACCAAATCAATCATGCGCAAATCATGCTGAGGTCGTACGGCCCAATCTAACATAAATATAAATTGTGCACTGCCGAAAGTCGAACAACACGAACCATAGTTGCATCTATATGCTACCGAGGCGTTCGACCCACTCCACAACAAGAGAAAATACATATAAACAACCAATTCAAGATATATTAAGGGATAACGTTCAAAGAAATTTAAATTCTCATTAACGGTCAAATGACCAGTCCAAAACTCAAGTAGGTGAAGTTTAACCTTTTACAACTTCCTTATCATATTCCAATATATTTTTAACAATTAAATTAACAAGTAGGATGCAAACATCTNAATACTTATTATAATTCAATTTACAATAATTTTCAACTCCGATCGAAAAGTCGATAAAATTAACCCTCGAGCTCGTGCCCGGATTCCGAAAATTTTCGAAGATAAACATTATCTATAACATCACGAACTCAAATATATAATTTATTCTCAATTCGATGCCCAAATTCGTGGTTAAAATCCAAAAATACCACTTTTTAGGTTTTCTACCAAAGCCCCAAATTTTCACTAATTTCCATGAATTTCCATGTTAAAATCTATATATAATCCAAGTATTTAACTTGCAATAGGTGGGAATCACTTACCTTGACATAGATGATGAAGATGGAGCTCCAAAATTGCTCCTAGGTCGTCTCCCATGGAGGAAATGAGATGAAATGAGCCAAACACATTTTTGCAAACTTATACACTGCCCATGCGACCCTTCTTCATGTTCGCTGGCCTCCCATCGCTTTCGTGATAAAAAATATTCTCAGAAGCTATTTCCAAACTCTTCTCAGACAGCCTCTAGTATAATGGTCATAACCTTTGGTACAAAACTCCAAATAATAAATGGTTTAACTTTATGAAAACTAGACGCTAAGATCTACAACTTTTATGTTTTGGTCATCTCTCAATTCCTTATAGATTTCGAGATATAAGCTGTCAAAATCAGTCCTGTGCAATACAAATTTCTTCTTCATCTTCTTGGATAGCCTATAGTGTACCAGCCATAACCTTTTGTACACAAGTTCAAATGCTAAATAGTTTATCTTTCTAAAAACTGAATACAAAGGACTACAACTTTCATTTTTGGATCATCTCCAAATTCTTTATAGATTGCGAGATATGAGCCTCCGAAATCAGACCTGTGCAACAGAGATTTCCTTCTTCGCGAACGCGAGAGTCTTTTCGCGAATGTGAAGAACAAAATCCCAGAAGCCAAATCCTTCTCCCCGAATGCGAGAGGATCCTCGCGAACGCGAAGAACAACACCAGACATCAGAAAATCAGCATCCAAAGTAGCCCAAAATGATCCGAAACACACCCGAAATACACCCGAGCCCCCCGGGACTTCGTCCAATCACACCAACCTATCCCAAAACATGACACGACCTTGTTCGAGGCCTCAAATCACATCAAACAATATCGAAATCATGAATCGCACCCCAATTCAAACTTAATGAACTTTAGAACTTCAAACTTCTATATTCGATGCCAAAACCTGTCAAATCACGTCCGATTGACCTCCAATTTTGCACATAAGTCACATTAGACATTACGAACCTACTCCAACTTTCAGAATCGGAATCCGACCCCAATCATCATACGAACCTGTTGGAATCTTCAAATCCCGATTCCGACGTCTTTTACTTAAAAATCACATATTAGTCTTTTCCAACTTAAAGCTTCCGAAATGGGAATTTTCTTTCTAAATTAACTGCGAACTTTCCAAAATTCAATTCCGACCACACGTACAAGTCATAATACCTTAAGTGAAGCTACTCATAGCCTCAAACCGCCGAACAACGCACTAGTGTTCAAAATGACCGATCGAGTCGTTACAATCTCCAATCCTTAGTAAGTACTCACAAAAGGCAGGATCTTTTCTTGCATGTATATTTTTTGATAATCGAAATTTTTTAAGGTGATTACAGATGTCTGAATATAATAAGTTTTCACAAATGAAATCTTCTTTCGTCCCGCTTTGTACAACTGGCAAAGTCTGTCTGAAATCACCTCCGAAAACGACGACTTTACCACCAAAGAGTGTATCTTTGTCCATAATATCTCTCAAGAGTAAATCAAAAGTCTCAACAAGTTTTTTCTTTGCCATTGACACCTCATCCCATACTATTAGTTTTGCATCTCGGATTAAAGATGCAAGCGAACTTTGTTTACTTATATTGCAACTATAATTTCTACTTGTATCAATAGAAAGTTTAAAACGGGAGTGAGCAGTCCGGCCACCAGGAAGTACGAAAGTCGCAAAACTAGAAGTTGTTATAGCTAAAGCTATAAATCCCCTGGATCGTACCATAGCTAGTAGAGCACGGTATAAGAAGCTTTTTCCTGTTCCTCCAAGACCATCAATAAAAAAAACTCTTGATCCATTTGAAAATATTCTATCAAAGATGGCGTCATATGCTGTTAGTTGTTCTTTATTTAGTTTTTTGAATAGCAACAAATCTTCTTTAGTCACAATTATATTTCGCTCTAAATGGATGTGTCTAACCTCTTGTGTTATTGTGGAAGATGCAGAAGATGTGAAAGTTTCTGATATGAGTTTAAATTCATTTATACTCTGTCCCATTGAATGTAAAATATCGTTTATATGATTTAGGACCAAATAACGAATGTTGTTTGTTTGTATGTTTGGTATAATTGAGAAATCTTCAGACATGGAGCTTTCAAATCGTTCCTATAATTCTCTTGGATTAGCGGGGTTATAATATACTAATAGCGTTGCAAATAAGCATCTTAGACTGTATGGCATTTGGTAATTAGTAGCTTCAGACATACAATTAATTAAGTTGTTATCACAAGCTAGCAATCCTTTTTTTTTTCCTGCGGATTCTCTAAATGTGTTGCAATGCTTTCCATTTACAGTTTTGAGATCTTTGTATGATTTTGGGCGTCCTATGTTCATCAATAATAGGCGAAGGTAGTACCTCTCTCCTTCTGTTGGATGACATGTGACAATACTAGCATAACCTTGTTGTCTTGGTGACCGCATTTTATCACTCACTGACCATATGAAGTGTTTTGGAAATTCTATGTACAATAATTGAAGCTCTTTGGCGCGCTTATTTGTTTCATTGATTGTAAAAAATTCTGTTAGCATTGTTTTCTTAATTGCAAGATTATTTAAAATTGTGTTTAGACTTGCAGTTGTCTTAAAGGAGACAAATTGTTGATTCTCAAGATGTAGTTGAAGATGGTAGACATTGGGAGTCATTTCACTAATATGAAAAGCAAACAAACACCACATAGCCTCCGGTGCTGACACCCATCTGCCAGATCTATATTCTCTGATTTTATCAATCTCTATATTGGTATCATTACTATGTACGTTTAAAGCAATTTTATCATGCCCTTTACCCATGTACTTGTAGATATATTTAATAACTTTAACATCCGAGTAAATTTCAACATTCATGTGACAGTTAAACTTGCTCAGTAGATATGGATTGTAAGGAACAACCTATAAATTATCAAGATATTGGCTTCTAACTTTGACAAATTTTTCAGTATCTCGCCTTCTGTAAATTGGATATGAATTCTTACCTTTAGATGTTTCGTTGGCATAATCTATGAGATATTTAAATTTAAATTGTCTCATATTTTTCATGCATGGACTTGTAGGATTTAAACTTCCACAAGGACCATACATCATATGCTTAACCACCAAAGAATCGAAATAACTATTTGTATTAGCATCTGGTAGTTCGGCACAAACAACTTTATCATAAGCCTTAGGTGTCAATAACTTATACTCGTCAGCAAGTATAATAAGGAAATGAGCATGAGGAAGACCTCATTTTTGGAATTCTATGGTGTACATAAAAGCAATGACTTTTCCAAATATACTCTTTTTAACTATATCTGACTTAAGCTCTTCTACCTTTGCTTTAAATACGCGACTCACTAAATCTGGTCTGTTTTGTACTTCATCAGTTGGTAGTAAGAAATCTTCTATCTCTAGCCAAGAAGGATTACATGTTATCGTTAGAAAGATATCAGGTTTTCCAAAGTGTTGTACTAATGCAATGGCACCCATATATCGACGCCGCATATCTCTTGGACCTCCAGTAAAGCTAACAGGAAGGAATGTTTTTCTGCCAATATTTGAAGCTTCTCTTTCGCCTAGTCTTAGAAGATCAGTAAGTCCTTCTAATGCCTCAATCCGAAGTACTTCTTGATTGAATAGGAAAAAGTCTAATCTTTGTGTTTCAAGTTTTATATATTCATCTACAGAATATTGTTGGAATTACATTCCAGAATGTAAAGTTTCATTTTCTTCATCGTCTCTAATTTGAAGTTTGTAGCAATAATATTCTCGGCAGGAAACAATATTTTTTTTTCTTCCTTTCTTTTTGCAAGATTTCTTGTTCTATGTTAAGTAGTCCATCAATTGAACACATATTAGTTATACTTGGAAGTTGCTCATGTTTACAGGAAGCACGAGGCCTAGGAGAGCTAGTTTTTTGTTGAACCTTTTGGATGCCGCAATGCCATCCGTTTTCACCATAGGGAAATAACAAAGGATATTGTAATGGGTCGTAGCAGCCATAGAAATAGTGAACCAGTTGGTTACTGTTACTATGGGTGTGGATACAAATATGGGGTGTAGATAAAGAACATTCCAATTCTTCGTCAACCCATGCAGCTATGACTTCTGATACGCGGGGTAAATTATATGTTCATTGGTCCAAGGTAGAATCACACTTAAGTGCGATGTAGAAGTTAGATAAATCTGGAATGTCTGTCTAATATTTCAGAAAGATAGAGTATGGATTAATGTTTAGAATGTTCAACAATTTTGCAATAACCGACCTGTCAAGTTTTTCTGAAAAGGCCATCTTGTTAACTATATCATCATCATCATTGTCATAAAAATAAAGCTGCAGATTTTTGGCTTTGTTATCTCTGGGGGTGAGGTTATTTATAAAATGGTACATTTGTCCTTGAACTCTAAATGTATAGACACCTTGAGTTCTTTTTGATAATTCCTTATCGTACTTTACTCCAAGTGAAGTAAATGCGAACATGTTATTGTATGTTCTAATATAAGTACGGAAATGATTGGATTCATCGTTCATGCCAAAGTAAAGGCTTTTTAACTCAGAAGGTAGGCCTTGTGAAACTAATTTTACTGAACCATTACTACAACAAAAGCTAGGAGTTTCATACTGAAATCTTCTAGCTCGGCACAATTTACAATTCGGAACCCTTTTTAGAATGGAAGGACAATTGGGTAGCTGGTTAATATTCCAGCACCCCACCTGTGTTAAGGTGCATCCTGCAACATTAGTAGTTAAATTTTCAGTATATGTTCCTGATGTCGAGTGTGTAATATACAGGCAGCACCTCAAAATATGTTAACTATCTGAGGGTAGCCTAATATGCCGGAAGTTAATGGAATATTACAGTTCAATTCAACCAACCATTTCGGGAAGAAGAAGGTATGTCTCGGATGAAGGTAGCATCTTGTCCTGGAATCATCCTTTGAGATTCGGAAGAAGAATGACTTTGATCGGAAGGATTGGCGGAAGAAATTTCAGAAAGACAACGCTTTCTCGCAGCATATTCAGTCTGACGTCGCTCTAGAAGTGCTGCCTTTTTATCAGGTGAAATTTCTCTGTATGTGATACGTCGCCTAAGGTTTCTTTCACTATTTTCGGCACGAAGATATGGATGGCCTATCGTGTGATCAATTTGGTCTTCATCCATCTTTCTTTTGTTAGAGGACATCTGACTTGCACGCATTTCATATAGGCTTTTTGTTAAAGTCGAAAGTTTATAAGGGTAACATTTAATCTATTCCTATAGGTACACATGTCTACATATTATAACACAAAACATAAGGTAGAAGCAAGTTGCATTGTAGCTAAACAGATAACGTTATAGATCAGAAGTTGCGAAAATTACCTGCTGTAGCAATACTGTTTTTACTTTCCCCCTAGAGCAAAGTTCAATCTCAAGAGCCTGAAAAATTAGAATTGAATAACCATTATATTCAAGCTGAATCGAGGAAACATATGTGATAATTTGCGGAGAAAATATGATATATTAGTATTGCTTGAGGTAAATATCATGCGTGTATACAGCTGAAGGTAAAAGCAGACAGTGTTGATTTCGGATCGAGAACCCATTTCCTTTTCTGTTTCTGTTAGTCTAATTTAAGAACATGGAAAGCAATTGTCCAGTTGGTATCACGAACCTCAAGGACAGCAATGTAAAAACATGTAAAGCAATTGTCCAGTTGGTATCAAGAATCTCAAATTAGCAATAACAATTATATATGTCTATACGGTCAAAACCGATTTTGCCCTTCATGTAATTAGTCAAGATTGGAATATGATGGACCGAGGGTCATTTTTATAATACCGAGATGAGATCTGAATCCAGTTTACCAAGCTCAAGATTCAGGGACTGATCAATACCGAGCTCGAAGACATTATCGAGCTCGAGTCCAAATCGAACTATGATGAGAAGTGGCGTTATCGAACCTAAGATCCAAGCCCAAGTCAATACCGAGCCCGAGACAATATCGAGCTCGAGTCAGTATCGAGCTCGAAATCTGGAGATCGACCAATATCAAGTCTGACCAAGATCGAGCTAAGAAACAAGAGCCGTTGTAGCCACACTTGGAGAGAATCTCGGCGGGAATTAAGGAAAAGCTAAACAAACTAATCTATCATGGGATCTCATTATGTATTTTTTATTATATCCAAAGTAGGATCTCCCACTATAAAAGAGTGGCTATCATTTCTGTAAGGGACATTAAGACATCTATACCCTCCCATATGTAAAAGATTATTGATATTCATATAAAGATACAACAAAGATTATTTTTGTGGGTTTTGGACATTGATTCATCTTTTTTGTTTATAAATCGCTTTCTGTTTGATTCGGTTTGTATTTCATTCCCTTTTTACTGTCAATATTCGATATTTTTTTACATACTTTTTCGATTTGTATCAAGCTATACCACGTATCCTTAGAACTATGTACAAATTCAACTTTATCCGTTTTTCGGGTAAACAGTTTGGCGCCCACCGTGGGGCTAAGGATAATAGTGGTTATTTGGTATGAATCTATGTGAAACACACTATTTTACACTTGCTCTTGGAAGTATCTTTGATTTCAGGCTGAAAATGACGAATTCACAATTAATGGCCCTACCTATCGACAACGAAGTTGGCCTTCAAGATGAGAACAACAACTTAACGCCCGGGGTGAAAGGCCACTTGTCGATCCCGTTGGAGCTCGGGTCGAAGAGTCAATAGACGTTAATTCAGATGTGGCCATCGAGGCAAACCAACGTTCCGACCCTGAAAATAGCATTCAAGGTGGAACTCGATCTGCAACTCGAAATACCCAAAATGCTGAGGAAAACGGAATCAGCTTGCGTATAATTTTTGAAATGTTGCAAGCTCAACAAGTAGCAATAGCCCAGTTGCAGAGCCAAACCCAGGAATCGACCAGGCTCGAGCCCAGTCCACCCCAAGAAGTCACCCGCAAAATGGGGCCAGCTGTAGTAAGGTCAAACGAGCAAGAATCGGGGACTAATCCCGAAATTGTTAAGAT